TGATGCTGAGCCATGACGGTGCAAAGCCAGGCTCACAAAGACCTCAGGGGGAGCCCCCTGGACTCCTGAAGAAAAAGGGAGGTAGACAAGGCCAAAAGCAAAAGCAGCAGGGAGCGGTGATAAGCGTGAGCTAGACCAACACACCCTGACACGAGTCGGGCGGGGGGGAACATTAAGGGACTCCCATTCATCCTGAAAGAGGCAATCCCCTCCTGGGGAAGGAGGGTGGGTTTGTATGTCGCAGTCAAAGAGGGCAATTTGGGAGGAGAGTGTTGTAAATCATTCTCCACAGAGTCCATACAGAGTGGCTGTAAATGATTTAAAAAAAAATTTAACTGATCTGAGGAAAAGTATGTAACAAAATGGATTGGACAAGAGTTATACCATAAAAAAGCAACATTTTGCTGATCTTCATTTACTAGATAGTGCCATTTCATTTGCTGTTGCTTTGCTTTTGTGTACTACTACCTCCTAGTGTACTTTTATATTATGCACTGAGTTGCTTTTGCTAGCTGAAAGCCAATCGGCGCAGATAACCGTTTTGTATACTGCAATTGATAGCCCATTCATTCATTGATATCCCAAAATCACTACAACACAACAATGTCTTCATGGGTTTGACTTGAACACGGTTCTGGATATGTGAGCAATTCATCTCATGAAGCCATGACTGTGGATGGTATGATAAACAATGACTTCTCAGCCATGTGGGTTGCTTGCTACAGTGTCAAAGTATTGATTTTGGTTGATGTACATCGTAAGAATCAAACATTCTTATCTAAAGACAGATTACATAAGAGTTCAGTTTAATTGTCATTTTATGTAATGAATCCAAATGAACGGTGGCGCAGGGCCAAGGGATCTAAGGATCCTGCATCCGTGTGAAAATGGCAGGAAAGAATACAATTTCCCCTAGGTGTGAGGTGGCCAGAGTGGTGACCATAGAGTGACCATGGTTTTTCATGTTGCATGTAATTTTCGCAGTTTCAGACTTTGACGCATACGTCCCCACACATTAGTCATCGCAATGGCTGTGTGAAAGTGCAATGTCCTGTATTATCAAATTCTGTGTGCAAAGAATGCCAGCTCTCCAGTTAAGCTTTGATGCCTCAAATTCTTTTTGGAAAGCAGTGTGAAAGGCATTTCAGTGAAGGGAGAATATTGTCCGTTCTGACATTTTACAGTAAACTTATTTCTACATTTCTTAATGAAGCGCATGATCAACATAATTACACCTTCAATATCGGTCCTTAATGACTTTCTAAACATATTACCGGTAACTATTCAATTTATTGTTAATGACTGTAATGGAGGTTAATATGTTCTGTTATTTCATGTTTCGTCGATTACATCTATGCTATATACTGTGGAATGGTTTTTGGGGGTACAGCAATTTCTTTCCGAAAATGAATCAAGTTTCTCACGTTGTCAACTTCTGTTAAGCCTTCGCCACCTCTAGAAAAAAAAAACTAAAACAAAGAAATCACCAATCATAACAGTGCTCTAGAAAAATGGCGCAACATAAACGAATCAGAAATAGAGAGGTGGGGGGGGAGGAGAGAACTAGTGCGTGGAGGGAAGAGGGAAAAGGGGTGGAGAGAGTATCGGGAAGGGGTTGGGGGTAGGGATGCAAGTAGGAGATCGCCTGGCACAATGACTCCTACTTGTTAGCCAGTGGCAGTGTCAGAGATCGTGACAGGGTCCAGACGCTAGACACCAGCTGCAGCGCCTCGTAAATAGACTGCTGTCTCGCAGGCACATTTGCACGGCAGCAGCGGCTGCGCACGCACGCAGCCAGGCATGCGGGCACATGCATATACTATGGCAGACACACAGACACTGACTTATTGTTTCTCCCCAATCTTGTTTAAAAAAAAAAAAAAAAAAAAAGGGACAGTGGACCCTTTTGTATCGTGTCTTGTTAAACCTCCCGTGAAGGGAAATAAACTTCGCATGCCCAAAACCTCAACCAAATCCCAAATGAAGCCAACAAATATATCACAACAATCGTGCATTTACTGGTAACCACAACTTTGGGGGGGACAACTAAATCTGCTAGGCGCCTTGCGTTTGCTTTTACCTCAATATAAACTTGGTCTCTGGATGTGTGTTCATCCCCTGCCCTGCTACGCCAATGTGATAATAAAGAGGGGGAGTAAGGGGAGCAGAACTGAGCATTTAGGGTAAGAGAAAAGTGGAGCTGGACAGGAGGTGAAGGGGTTAAATATGCAGTGGCAATCCTGCTGAGCCAGCAGTCGTAGTTAAAGTGCAAGGTTTCATTGTATCAGATACAGAATGAAATTCCTTCCCATTAGTCATGCTAGTAAGTTAAAAAAAAAAGTTTAGCAGCTGCTTAACCCCTACTCCCTTACTGCACTATCAAGGCACGGCACCCGGACAGGTACAGCACATCTTTAGTGTCCGTGTTTGGGTTAAACTTGCACCCACAATTATTGTGACTACATTCACACTGTACAGCACCATGATGGAGAGACCTACTATTTTTTTTTTTTTTTTTAATTCCCACTCCTTTTTCTGCAAGCCTCCCACGCCACGCTACAGTACACAATGTCTCGGAGGAGCTTTAGGCAGGGGAAGGCAAGCGTGCCCTTCCTCCAGTTCAAGCGGGGCAGAGTCATAATCCTCCTCCTCGTCCTCATCTTCATCCTCGGACTGCCTCAAGCAAGACACAACATAGTAAGGCAAGCGGCGCTGCCGTTTGAAAATTGGGACTGATTAATTACATCAACAGCCATAATTAATAAGGGGCTTAGGTGAGTGGATCATTGGAAAAAATAACGCCATAAATTGTATTCACTGTTACCCGTTTATCATTGAAACGGTACACTCTTTTGATATTTTGGTTTACACCAAAACAAATTCATACAAGATGGCTTTCCTTGAATTTCATCAGATCAGTGCAATAATCTGGAGGTTTTTTCACAACCAACTGTAATTAAGCACCCCCCCCCCCCTTATTTATATATGTATTTATTTTCAAAGGACCAAAAAGTAACATTAAAAGTATAAGACACTTCCCCAAACCCCTTTCATATATTTTCATTCTATGAGTGGTGTTATCATAACCTCTCCGAAACACCTTATCTTTTGAGAGAATATATATTTGTTGGCTCGGATATTCTCTAGCCTTTTTTTTTTTTTTTTTTTTTTTTAGCACCGGAGGCAAAGTTACCATTTGATCCTTATTAAGTCAAAATGGAGAATGAAATGCCATGTGATCTACGCACCAGAACACAGGTCGTTCTGTTTGTTTTCATGACAGCACGTCCAATGCAGCACACTGTCTTGACATCTAGTACGTGTAAACTCAAAGAAGGCCAACATGTGCCGCGAGGGCGGCGCATGCAATGCAGTTGCCGGCCAAAATGCTCAACAAAAATAAAAAGGATTATCAGTCGTTGTGCTTTTCATTTCGCCTATTGCTTTATTTCCAGTTAGCATGAGCGCCAGGTAATGAGAGCACAGGGCATACAGCCTCTGTCGAGAGGAACATTGCACATGAGAGCAACAAGCCCTCTATAATGTAACACAATGCAAACCACAGCACACTGCAATAACAGGCAATGTGGCAAACATCGTGTGCACTTTAGGGCAAATTACTTATGCTGGTGACAAACAGGAATGCTATTTTGAAACATGAGAAGAGAATGGATGGGGGGGGTATACAAAAAAGAACTCTATTACATTGTCAGTGTTTATGCATGGTCTCGAGTCTAAAAGAATGAGCCCTTTATCATGAGAATTTAGAATTTTACTCAACATTTACTGCAATTGTCCAGAGTGTACACTCTGCCTCGTCCACAGTCATCTGGGATCGGCTCCCAGTCCCTGCGCTGTGACGCTGAACAGGATTAAGGGTATTGAAAATGGATGAATGGATGAATTGACCGATAGAATTAATGGAAAAGCGAGTCATTTCAAGAGGGAAAATGCCATATTGAAGAAAATAGATTTGATCTTTAGCCCTGTTAGAAATGGCAAGTACTGCACATGGTGTGCAGTACTTGCCATCAGATGCTTTAGTTAGCTCCTGTAAGTGAAAATGTCTTCTAAATTTCACACACCATCAAGAAGAAGAGCATTGTTAACAACCCTGCCAAATTTGAAAAAAAAATTAATAATAATAATTAAAATAAATCAAATATATAAAATGAAGCTTCACACTTGGGAAAAATCAAACCATCATCTCTGCTTTGAAATCCTGTGCCCTCTGAATCTGTAGAACTATGCCCCATTCAGCTGTCAATTTTCAGTCAAAGACCACTACTACGACTTGTAAATAGGGATACTTCACCTAGCATTTTTATTTTATCCTTCTCCTTTTTTCTCTTTTTTTTTTTTTTTTTTACAAATAAATACATGTTTGAGATGTGAATATATACACGTTTAAGCCCTCCGACGGCTCGAATATATCCCATCAGGTAATTGTGAGGCATTTCCGTGCCGCAACAACAAAGCCCATGCCAGCCCGGTCCACACACTGGCTCCGTGCACTCGAGGCAAACATCGACGCACTCTAAAGTTACCAAGCTTGCGGACTGTCTGAAAGGAAGGTGCATTTTCAAGGTGTTGCTATTTCCAGATAGCTAACTGCATGTCAAAACTGCACCGGATAAGCGCTGATACGAACTACGGTGCTCAGGTTTATATATGATGAAGGAAGCGTGACTCATGCACACTGTAGTTTGCAGTTCTTGCACCTGTTTTCAGCAATTATCTTCAAACATGGATAGTATATTTAGAACAAACGGCTGAATTCAATTTATAAGGTCTTTCAATACCAAAAGACAGTACATGGAAGTCTATAAATTGGTATAATTCTTTCGAAACTCTACAGCTTCTAGAAAAATGTCATTCTCTGGTGAAAAAAAAGACGCCTTTGTCTGTTTATGACTGCACCACTGCGAGGTTAACAGTCACCAAGGGTGGTAATTAAAGTATTTTCTGAATGATAGAGAGTATAAAATAAGTGGTCTTACCCCAGTTTTGTCACAGAGTCGCAGAGTGTTGAAGGAGCCCACGGCAAACACTTCTCCATCTGGAGCCCAGGACAAAGAGGTGACTGGGTAGTCATACGCCAGCGAGAAGTAAAGCAAGCGGCCAAAGCTGTCCCACACCTGTTGACGAGACGAGAGGGATTTGTATGGTGCAACAGCAACAAAAGAAAAGCTCCAGTAAGCCCCACACTGTGTTCACCTTATATTTACAGTCCTCTCCTCCCGACAGTATGAGGTCATTGACTGAGTTCCAGTCCACTTTCAGAATGACCCCATCGTGCGCCTTCCACTAGAGAGAGACAGAGATCACTACTCCGCAATACTGTCATCACGCTGCTTGTAAAGAGCAAACAAGGAAATGTTTTATATACTCTAATGCAGGGGTCCCCAACCTTTTTTGCCCCACGGACCGGTTTATGTCTGACAACATGATCTTGATGTTTCATTTAAGGTGTGGCGGAAATAATACAACTCTGGAGCCCAGGACAAAGAGGTGACTGGGTAGTCATACGCCAGCGAGAAGTAAAGCAAGCGGCCAAAGCTGTCCCACACCTGTTGACGAGACGAGAGGGATTTGTATGGTGCAACAGCAACAAAAGAAAAGCTCCAGTAAGCCCCACACTGTGTTCACCTTATATTTACAGTCCTCTCCTCCCGACAGTATGAGGTCATTGACTGAGTTCCAGTCCACTTTCAGAATGACCCCATCGTGCGCCTTCCACTAGAGAGAGACAGAGATCACTACTCCGCAATACTGTCATCACGCTGCTTGTAAAGAGCAAACAAGGAAATGTTTTATATACTCTAATGCATGAGGGTTTTCTCTTTTTACGATGTGCAACAGTTGAGTAAGTCTTGACATGATCTTGATGTTTCGATGTTATGTTTCTTCTCTCGCTGCACACCCTATGTCTTCCATATGTGTCTAAACGGCTCAAAAGAGGGAAGCAACATAAATATTCATGGTTGTCTATGTTATTTGTGACTGTATGAGGTTGTGAATATCATACTGAATGTGATGGTGGTCCTTTTGACTTGACGATGGATTACACCCTTTCATTAGCTGGCTGGTATATGAAAGGATTTATTGCTGTTGGGTTCAAATCAACCCCAATTTGCCCCGACTCACTAGAACACTAACACTAGAACTGTGAAACCAGAGCCACGGCACTAAAATGACGGTGAGCTAAATGATGCACAAATATTGACCCCTAAAATGTAGCAATTTACGTAAAGGTTTATTTGAGTCATCTTATAAACATTATTCAGTAGCGGATATTAACCGATTAGTCGACTTCACTACTCCAACCCGACGTTTAATGCTTGATGTCAACTAATTGCTAATCACATGTTTTTGGCATTGCATCTTTCCATCATCCAATTTAAGGACTTCAAATCACACATCTGCTTCCTTGACCAGATTATAACACAAAGTGGAGCAGTGAAATGTCCGGCGAACAAGCCGACAGTCTTCAAAGGTCCACACATGTCAGAGAAAATTAAAATTAGGCGGTTATGGGCGAGAACATCAGTTTCAAATGTTATACCAGTAGCAGGACCGAGGAACTAGCGATGAGGGACTAGAGCAATGGTACAAAGTGAAGCTCCAACTGTCACTCCAAAATTGTATGACCAATATGCGCGGGCACACGATGTGAGCTTTATTTGACCTAAAATTTGTATTACATACAAACACCCATCAACATCATGACACACGTGTTGCTTTACAACACCTAAATCAGTGTATACAGCCAGCCTATGCGTGGAGCCCAGTAGTACGGGCACTTGCAGATTATGCAAGTCTATTCATAAATACAGTAAGAGCACAAGTGAAACAGAAACAGTGACACAGAAAAATGCTAAATTTTTTGAAGTACTACAACTCGATTCATCTGAATGGCGAGTTGAATTTGTAAGCCTTTTTTTTTCCCCTATGCCGCTCAATCGAAATGTCTTTCTGTGGAACAGCTCAAGAGGCTCAAAAAAGGTCGGGGACTCCTGTAGTACAATGAAAAAATATCAATGACATCATCGATTAATTGACTTCAACTGGGCTATCATCACATTGGCATTGACTACGAAAAAAAAAAATCTGTAGTCGTTCAATCCCTAGAGTGCAGCATCCAGTTGTGTGCTAAGCATAAAGTATGTATGTATGCATATGTGGTTGCTATGGTGTTACATCATCTCCAACTGGCAAGGAATTGAAATACTGTAATTAGTACTGTATATCATCGGTTGGCACCTATACGTTTGTTGAATTCCGAATTGTACATTCAAATTCAAAAGTATCACGATCTCTCTATAATGTCCTGAAGTCCTTTTCAATGTTGATCAAATAGATACTGTATTTGAAGGTTGTGTACCTGTATGACTTTAGCGCTGGGTTGCAGAGGTTTTATGACCAGGTGTCGACCTGATGTATAGAGGATCCTCTCGGAATCTGGGCCCCATACCACAGAATACACGGGAGACCCTGTAAGAAACACAGAAAATTACCTTTTTTGCATATTTTCAACCCAAGAAACACACATGACTGAGCAAATTCACATGCATTTACAGTATGCATGCATACATTTCTCCTGCTGTATTTGACAAAAGAAAATGTCTCTCTCTTAGGGCCACAACAGTGATGAGCACACTTCTCAGAAGCCATTCATCACTTTCCGTCAGGCTTCTCTTCATCATTCAGCATATAGAAGGCACAACAGCTGTGCAAAGCTGCCTAACCTCAGCAGAATAAGCGCAAGAGTGTGTGTGCTCGTTTACAAGTTGGGGTTGTGGATACGCACGTGTGCAGTGCGGGCTGACATTTAACCCTGCTCCAGGTGCATGCGGTTTCTCACAAATGCAAACCGATCACATGATCTAAACCTGACAAAAAGGAACAAGAGGGGGTGGAAACAAGCTACTAACTCCTGCTTGTTTGAAACGTATTGTCAGAGAGAAAAATAAGGTCAGGACAAATACAACAATGTACCACAGTTTGCTCCTTGCGCAAGTGTGTGTGTGTGTGTGTGTGTGTGTGTGTGTGTGTGTGTGTGTGTGTGTGTGTGTGTGTGTGCGCGCGCATACTTTTGGGGGCTCTGAAGTGCAGCAACACCTGCAGTGATCTAAGAGCCATGTGGACGAAGGCACATCTCTGCAGCGGTGCGTCTCTAGCCAGGTGTTTAACACATCTGTGGCTCTGTTCAGCATCTCACTACCCAGCAGCTCATGCTTCAAACAGCTCCTTAAGGGGGGAGGGGGGGTCAGAGGGGGAGGAGTTCCTATATACATTCTGGATCTGAATTGGCCATTTCCCCTGGCCAAGGATTTCCACAATGCCCGCTATTCAATAGGAGTGTGCCATCAATTTTCCAAAAAAGGCCTCCTACTATACATAATTAATAAGCCCAAAAGCCCAACTGATCAGTTAACAAGTGAGCCAAGTGTAATGAAAACCAGATAGATGGATGTCATTCATCGGTAGTCTCTAGGTGAGGCTTTTAATAAATCCCAGCAAAGGTTTGAAACATTATGATGCATTAGTGAATACAGGAGTGGAGGATCGAATCAACATCTGACCATGAGTCGAAAATTCTTCTTCTTTTTTTTTTTTTTTTTTTTAAACTCTGTCTCAAAAGACACACAAAAAGAAATCTTATGAGACTTAAGCTCAGTGAGCATGAACTACAGGTGTGTGACTATGACCGGAGAAGAGGAAATGGAAGCTATCGCAACACAGGAAGGGGGTTCACTTGTCTCGACCTTGGCCACTCAGAACAATATGGCTAACGTTACATCAATAATAAGAACGGAATGTACATTGGCAAAGTGGTGCACTCATGCGGATAACACATGTAGATTTGATGGAAAAAACAAACAAAAACAAAGAACGTTTCGGCAATGCTGCAGTCAAAACTTGTCCATTTGTGTGAGCAATGTTATATCACATTTTTCTAAAATATACATTAAGATGATTTTACATATTATGGTAATGTGTTGTTTGCTTTCAAGTAGTCAGTATTTAAATCTTTTGACTACAACATGGAGGCATTTGCCCTTATGTGTTAGCATTAAGCTAGCGCGAGCAAGATGAAGCAATACTCAATTTTGTGTATGTTCTACTGAAAAAGTCAATTGGGAAGTGTCGATAAACAGCTTGAAGGAAGTGCTTGTTGACCCTTTTTGAAAGACTGTTTGCAATTTGTCAAACAGCACACCGCAAGCTCCGGGAGGACAGATTAGTCTGGTGTTCAAAAGGCTATCAAATGAAGACACATAGTATTAGCACAAACACTGGTAGCGATGCACCAATACTGGTAGCGTACTGGTGCATCCCTACTTAAACGCTTCCTGTACAGTAAATCAAGATTTTCTTATGCCAAGAGTTTGACTTTAGAACTTAAACTATATTGATTTACATAGTTGCCTATGGGGAATAATTATTTTGAAATACAGCATGGAAAAAAAAATAAAAAATCAGTTGCCGGCTAGCATACCAAAACAAATAAAAGTTCAACCTTTAGAGTTCGACAGGAAAGAGCAAAAGGCCAAATGTACGTGCGCACGTGCCTAACGTGAGCATAAACAAGGAGCGCCAATTAATGGCCAACCATTTCCTCCCTGATTGCCTTTTAGAAATAATATGTTTGGGTTAAAAAGCTGACGGCAAAAAACTGCTTAAAAATGACAGAGGGGCGAGTCAAACAGCAGGCAGCTGTGCGAGAACCTGCAAAAATAGCCTGCTGCCATGATATAATTATTGTCTTTAAAATGATCACTTTTCAAACGCTTTCAAATAAATGACTACCATATTTTCCGCACGATAAGGCGCTTTGGAGTATAAGGCGCGCCTTCAATGAATGGCCTATTTTAAAACTGTTTTCAAATATAGGGTGCACCGCATTATAAGGCGCAACGAATAGAGGTTACAATAGTGGCTGCAGATACGTTATGCATCCACTAGATGGAGCTACGCTAAAGGAATACAATACAATACAGCTTGATTTATATCGAGCTTTCACAAGAACGGCAGTTATAACAAAGCGCTTTACAAAATATTTAAAGTACCACATCAACAAAATTAGATTATTGATCCATATATAAAGCGCATCGGATCATAAGGCGCACTATCAGCTTTTGAGAAAATTTAATGATTTTAGGTGTGCCTTATAGTGCGGAAAATACGGTAATTCGACAAATCTGCATTCACTATCTTTACCTTGGGTGGCTAGTGTCGAACGCAGCATGCCACTTTTGGACCAGTTCTTGATCTGCCCATCTTCTCCAGCTAAACGGATGTTAACATTAGAAAAAACAGGAATGACATATTTCGACATTCCACTCTAACATTATACCAGGTTGATGAAATACACAGGATTGGATGGAAATCAGTTGTTAATCCTGTTTTATCTGTTACCTGTGATGAGGGCAGTCCCATCATGGTTCCACCTGCCTGCTAAAACGGCTCCTTTGTGAGCCTCAACACTCTTCTCAATGCGCCCCGTCTTGGACACAAGGTGGAACTTCCCTGCACAGACAGTGGGAAAGGCCAACGTTAAGGTTGGGTGCGCACAATTCCAACTCAAGATCGAGATGCATGAAGAAATGAAATGGGACTCAAGCAAGTAAATGAGTTCAGTTTTATTTTTCTGAGTGGTTTTATATTTCAAACAAAAACAGAAGCATGGAAGATTTTATTTTCTCGAGGCTAAGTGACACTCAAAGCATAAACGAGTGGAATTAGAGTTGGTTGAACAAGGGATTTTTTTTGGTGGGTGCATGGAAATCATGATGAAAGCCGTGAACCAAAAATATACTTTGTGGCATTGTGTGCTCATAAATTCTAAGTTCTATATTATTTCCAATGGCCTTAAATTGAAAATAATCACATCACCAGACTCATTTCTAAATTTGGACAAAACTGCACTGTGTTACTCTTTTTTTTTTTTAAATAACAAAAAGCAGTCCACGTTATTTTGATTTTCCTGATCTCGGGATGCATCATAGCTAAATTGTTTTTGAAAGCGAAATATTTTAGTTTCACTGCTTTATAAAAACACAAACACTTTGCTCTTCAATTACTGCCATCAAGACTTTGTGGACAAAAATGTCCATTTACCAAAGAATTCAGAATAAATGTGCAAAGTTCAGAATAACTGCAAATGCATTATTTGATATTTCAACAGTGTAATGATAACTTGTTGGATATTTTATCCAAATTCAAAAAAAATAAAAGTGATACTGAAACAAGGACAGAAAGAAAATCGAAAGCTGCAACAGTAAATACGAGGATAAAATGAGTTTTCATGACTCACTGGTCTGCCAGAGAAAATTGCTGCCTCAGTTTGGGGGTGTGCTTATGCAACCCGACACTGTTATTAGTATTCTGACCACATGTTGCCTGACATAATAGTACATCCACATTCTGTGTTTGTTTCTAATGCAGCCTGACGACAGGCAGTGCTTGTTAAGTCATTTTACAATATGGCTCGACACAGAATTAGCACTGCGAGCAAAATAAAAACATCGACCACATTAGCAAGCTTTTCTCACAGTCGAAGTGTTCGGGATTTGAATTTCGACTCAGGCCCTTCGATGGAGTTGCTCATTTCCCAGTGCTCGTGTGGGTTCTCTCCAGATCTTCTGACATTCCAAGATCCTGCATCAGAGGTTAATTCAAGACTCTAAATTTGCCCTTAGGTGGCAATCTGAGCAGAAATGGTTGTTAGTTTATACGTGCCATGGGATCAGGGATGGGAAACTGACAGCCTACACTCTAAGTAACACCTCAAAAAACAAACAAACAAAAAAAAAATGTTATACTGAAATATCCTTCAAAATTGCTGGTGAACATTTAACATGTTTTCTAAGACAAAAATGGAAAAAAATATGAAAAAATATTTTTTAAAAAAGTTGACTGTAGTCTTGAGTTGTAATATCATCATTCACCAATTGATGGCAGACACGGCTGAGTTGAACTTAGACCTGGTCTTTTGCGGCCCGATACTACAACGTGAGTAGACCTAATAATATTTTGCAGATTTGGAATGACATGCAGTACAAACGGAGCACCGCAATAATATAAATTTTTCAGTAGCTCACTGAAATTTTTGTGAAAAAAAATGCACAAAATGAGTTCTTGCACTGAATGTTGGTTTTACTGTTAAGCAGTTTTGTGCAGTCCTTGAATGATAATTTCTTTTGTGCAAGACAGCCCTTTGCGCTGAAAACCCCCCAAAACAATACAGTATGTTGGTTATTTTGTTGTTTGCTTCAAACCTTTTGTTTTGCGGTTGTTCGTGGATGTTTTATACAAGCATTGACAAATGTATTATGAAAAAATGTAATATATTTAGACTCCACAATTTCCACGTGTGCATGTATTTTGTCTATATTTAAAATGTCATTTTTGTCATACAATTGGTTAGGAAGTGTGTGGTCCTATGTTCCTGCCCGCAGAAATACTGATTCAAAATTATGGACCCCTCCAGCAATTAATTTGCCCATCCCTCAGTTATACTGACAAGGCTACGACTGAAGGGCGTACCACTCCTTTGGCCCAAAGTCTCCTGGAATGGGCTCCAGCTCACAAATGAGGACTGGCACTACACAAAATGCATGGATGGTCAACCTTTTTGCTTCATTAAACCTGAGTACATTTTTATTGGATGGATTGAATGTTAGAAGCTATTTTATTGTTAATCATCAAGCAAGCACATATTTTAGTCTCTTTGTAGGTGTAATTTATACCTGCTGTGCAGTTTAAAATTGATGACATTACATTAGTTGCTCCCGGATCAGAAAATGGATGGATGGATGGATATTATCTGCTGTTTAAAATTGATGGCTTTACATTGGTGTTTTTGTAGATTTGCAACACCGCCAGGTAGCTATTTAAAACACCAATTTGTGTTCTGAGCTATAAAAGCTCAACTCAACTGTTAATGCCGAGTCAAATGTCAAAGAATACAAATGAGTTTTGAGAACCTCAGAACTGTACTAAACAAAGCTGATTTACATGATGCAAGTATGCAATTATATCATGTATGCAATTATGCAAGTATGCAGTTGAACACTGCACTTATATATTTTGATCAGGGATGGCAAAAATTCAGAAACAAATGGAAAAACACTTGAGGCAAATCAGAAAACACTTTCTCAAAATGTTTATCAGTTAACATGTGTAACTTAAATAAATGAGGCAAAATATGAATTGGCATCATGTTGTTTAGCAAGTCTCCCTTCCAGTTCTGAGGTTCAGGGTCCAAATCTCAGTTCCAAATTTCTGTTGCAAGATTTGCAACTTCTCACAGTGCTTATATGGCTTTTCTCCGAATACTGCAGGCTCCCACAAAAAGATGAATGGCTGGGAAAAAAAAAAAGACTTGCCATCAGTGCTGGTCAGAACAAAAATCTCAGCCGGCGTTTGCTTCTTGCCCCCAACCGTCTTGGGAAACCAGTGCAGGTCAATGGGGTAGAAGTCCTCTGGCAATATGACCACCAGACTGGTCTCGCTGGTCAGAAGGTTCCACCTGAGGATCTGGTGGTCTTCACTGCAAGAGTACAACTCATCGGCCGTGGTCCAGCCAACGCAGCTTACTAATTCTTTATGTAAGATACGATTAAGGAAAATTGTCAAATCACATTAGTAGAGCATATAATTCATGTTCGGAATCAAATTAAGTAGTCACGGATGCACTAGGACCCATTTTGGCGTTGTTTAAGCATAATCAGAAAAAGGATATGTTTAGGTTCCTTCAGTAGCGATGTTTTCAATCGCATTGTAGACGTCTGTGTCGTTATTCCCCGTGAAACTAGTCAAGGAAGAAAACATGTAAAGACAGCATGCTAACTGTCACGGCACGATCACACATTAGCACACGATTATCCATTTATCACAAGAACATGTAGGAAAGAAAAGGGGTGAGGTAGTTGCTGCCGCGCAATTGCGGTGTTGACAGTGGACGACACCGGCGTAGTTGCTATGTTACCTGACTCTGTTGCGAATACCAAATCCTCTTATGTTGGTGAAGCCTCGGCTGTGACGTTATACTAACGTTGGCGCGGTCTTCCGTTTAAAATGGCCATCGTTCCATCATTAAAAAAATGTCACCGAAGACAGCAGTCGATCCCCGAGTCACAAGTAGTCCAGAAAAAAAGTTGTACAGTGAAGAGGTCGAGCTTTCTGACTCAATTTGCAATCGTCTTGGTCGGCAGCCATTCATCTGGCTCAGTTTCACGGTCTGAAATCTCGCGAGAGTTCAAAATGACTTCCTTGACAACGGACATTTCGAAAAAGTGACACATATACTATTTATCTAAAATATCTGCATTTAAATTAGAGTTGAATACACGCGTAAAAAACGCACGTAAAATAATAAAACATAAGTATATGGGGTGTAGAGACGACTGGGGTATTAACTTTTGGCTCACATAAACAAGCGAACATTTCAACGTAAACGATGCAAGATCCAAGTTTTCAATAAGACAACAACATGTGGAAAAAAATGAACATCAATATCAAGTTGTAAGTTTAAACTGCAGCGGCGTTTCGAGCTTTCTGAACCAATGCTTTTGGTTTGCGGAGGGAGCGCAAGGATGAGTTGGCTTCGTCCCCTTTTTTGAATTTTTTTCCCTTTGCCCTTTGAACGGTCCATGGTGCCTTGCGTCAGTATATAACGAATGTGGTTCGACAGCTCAGTTTAGGCGCCATTTACAACTTGCACTTCTCCAAATCGAGGAGCCGCTCGACATGTCACCGATCTGAATTTTCTGGATTATTTTTCACCATTTTTTGGTTCGCCGCTATTTTTCCCAAGTGGCATTTATACTGGGGAAACGACTTTTGATAAAGATTTTGCGAAAGGTATACGAAGAAGCCCGCGAAAAATAACTTGGTGGCCGGGTTCTGTCTATTTACTGAAATGCGTCAATTCAAAATCAGATTTTTGTTCACCCGACAACACATTTACAAACTATAATCGAAAGCGCAAATGCGTAAAATTAACCGAGACTGTTTTTGAGCCCGACGCTATAATGCCCACATAACATTTTATTTTACGTTTACAAACTCATCATCTTAAAAGCAACACGGTGGTTTCCAGTATAGCGAATGCTTGTGTACGCTTAAAAACGAGATACTTTGGCTCGGTTAGTGAAAAGAACAATTCTAGTCGAAATTTAACTTTTCAGTCGGCTTGTAATTTACACAACGCAAACAGTTTTAAAATAACACTACTTCGCCACCGATCTTTCCACGTCGTTTGTTTGCTCACTTAGCCGCATAGCTAACTTTACATTCGCCGAGGCACTAAACGGTAACTGTAGCGACCTGAAAATAAAGTACTTACGTGGCAAAAACGCATCCGCAGATTCCCGACTAGTTTGTATTTTCCAGATGGGCTCAAATCTTTGTAACTGGGGTTGCTTATCTAAACATATAGCGTGTAATTTAAGAGAATTGTAAAGTTGTTGTTTGTTAAAGTTTGGATTGTACAGACTAGTGAGTGAGTCGTCTCCACGTGAATAAAGTTTCGAGAGTTTTGCCACTTTTTGTGTGTTCAAAAAAAGAACAGCTTCTAAAAGTAATCGTCAGCTAATACATACTTGCAGTAATACTGCTATTTTCATAAGAAAATGTGGGTCGAGTATTCACTTTAGTTGTTACTGTTACACCACAAGAGCAGGCAATTAAAATTGTTGGAATGGCGAATTTATAAAATAGTTATCCCATTCGTCTACTTTTACGAAAAGGTTGGACAAAATGTCCCAAGTGAATGTTGGCCATCATGGGACTTGGAGGAAAAAATGAGGGAGATTGACAGGCTCCGACCCCACTCACCGATATGCCGCTTTTCCTTTTTTTTTTTTTTTTTTAACCAGTGACCCCCCACCCCCATTCCACCCCTACACCCCCTCCTTCAGACTTCAAATCATGCCATTTAAAAGTGCAAAGAGCTCCACCGCGGCCGCCGCCTCCAAGTCAGCAGGAGGAAAGGGGTCGCAGCCTCGGGATGCCTCCGAGGACGAGCTGGACGAACCCCCCCGAGGAAGCCGCTCCAATGGCCAGGGAGAGGAGGAAGCACCGCCGCCGACAACTGGCAAGTAACAAAGGCTTGCTTTTTCTCCTTATGCGTATGCGTGTCTCAATCCCAAAACAAGTTGTGTTCACCCAGTGGCGTTTGTGGCCTTATTGTGGAGCGTCAGTGTTATATTTTTTTCTATTCCCAACCGTTAGTTATTGGAATGGCTGCTTTTGTCCGTTTTTATGCGCCGATAATCAATAAATGTTTCTTTGAGGCGTCGAGTGTTCCAGGTTGACTGATAAATTTGTTCACATTCTTCTGACTTGGGAGTAGATAACATGACGGGCGTATATTTGTTATTCTGTTAATAATGTATGATTGTAGTTTCTGTGGATGCGACACTAGTAGCTTTTTTTGGGGCAGGTCGTTGGGGGGGGCTTTTCTGTGTTGGAAACAAAACAAGAGTTTGCCCCCCAAACCGCCCCCGCCTCCCACAATTTTAGCCACTCTGTCACGAACAAGTAAAAAGAAACAAATCTAAGAGCCTTGTAGTTTCTATAACTTGTTTGTGTGTGTTGTTTTTTGGGGGGGGGGGCGCCGCCACCCCTCCCCCACCTGAAAGCGCTCCTTCGCGCACAGAGTTGCAGAGGGAATAAACGTTTTTTTTTTTTTTTTTTTTTTTTTTTTGCCTGTGCCACAGATCCGCCTGTCGGGGAGGCTGCCGAGGCGGTTGATAGCCGCCCTTTGGAGGAGATTCTCGGTAGCACCCCTCCACCCCCGCCCCCAGCCATGACCAATGAGCCTGGCGCTCCCCGCCTCATGATAACGCATTTAGTCAATCGCAACTTCAAGTCGTATGCAGGCGAGCAGATTCTAGGGCCCTTTCACAAGGTACGACCCAGAAAAACACACAAGCACACTTCTAACTGAGCCCTGCATAAGATGCTGTTTTTTTTTTTTTTTTTTTTTTACATTTGGAGTCACGGTGAGTGTCTTTTGTAATGCAAATGTTCTTGTTTGTAATGGTAGACTCAGAAAAGTTAGACATAATGTCTTCATCATCATTTTTGCTGTGCAATTTCTTAAAACATTTATTTAAACCGGGAAAGGTGACAAATGTGCATTTTTAAATTGGTTTGCGCATCTCTGAAGTAATTCTCACTTGTCCGAATTTTTGCAAATTGTTTTTTTCCATGTTTTTAGCTGATTTTACAAATGTACCAAAGGGGGGGAAATAACTTGACTACACACACACACACACACACACACACACACACACACACACACACACACACAAAATACACTCTCCTGGCCATCAGGTGGTGTGGATTGTGCAAATGTCAAACAATAATCTGTTTTGACATTTACAGTGCCTTATGTTTTATGTGATTCATATTTCTACATTTATTTTTAACCCTTTCCTGTCCCGCAGCGGTTTTCCTGCATCATTGGTCCGAATGGAAGTGGCAAGTCCAATGTGATCGACTCCATGCTATTTGTGTTTGGATACAGAGCTCAAAAGATCCGATCGAAAAAGCTGTCGGTACTAATCCACAGTTCTGATCAGCACAAAGATGTCCAAAGCTGTACTGTGGAGGTGCATTTTCAAACGATTATTGATAAGGTACATAACTATATACAGATATCCCTATGCTGCTCTCACAATACACTCATGCACTCATACACTCAATATCCTTGCCAAAATTCTATAATATGGTGCCCACGGGGGATAAATTGGTTTTAAATATTTTCCACTGATAGCAATTTCTTAGAGTCAGTTTCTTTAAATTCATATTGCCAAAGTCTTGATACACAAATGACTGAACATGGACACATATCAATCAGGCAAGTGACATTTTACACCCACACACAGTCACACACCATTCATACGGTGCTTTAGCCTTCCTATTATTTAATGTATTTATTTTTTTCAATTAAAAATTAATTACATTTCACAAGCCTTAAAAATGGAAAGTAATTTCAAGAATTAGCTGATGTTTGTTTAATTTGGTGTAATAGTCTCCTGTAGAGGTGTGTATTTTTTTTCTTTTTTTCTTTTTCGTGGAACACATTTCAATTTTCTGTTTTCTCAAAATAAAGTGAAATAACATTAACTTACAATGTAAGTGATTGTGTTATGGCTTAATGCTTTAAACTTCTCACCCGATCACTTCCTCTTTGAGTTTGCTTTTTCTTGAAAACGTGTTGGACACAACTCTCTTGGCTCTAAAGTGGAAGTTTGAAGTAAAACGAAAGAAAATAATCACCATTCCAACAGTTTTTGTATTGTCCTAGATATACTTTATAGCATATGTTGTATTAGTGATTTTTCAATGAATTTTACACTTTAGCTGCTTTAGCTCTAATGTGAGCATTGTGCACACACCCTTTTGTCAGTTGTCCTCAGGGTAAGCGGATAGATTTAAACCTTTTCTGAATTTGTCACTTTCAAGAATGAGTTTTGATGTGTGGAAGCTGTCTGATTCTCTCCTGAGCTGTTGTGCCCTAAACTGCTGCGTGTCTTCTGCCCCTCCCCCCTCCCTCTCTGAGTCAGGAAGGAGATGACTACGATGTCATCCCCAACAGCAAGTTCTATGTTTCCAGGAGCGCCCACAAAGACAATTCTTCAGCCTACTATATCAATGGCAAAAAGGCCACATTCAAAGAAGTGGGCATTTTGCTTCGAAGCCACGGCATCGACTTGGACCACAATAGATTTCTCATCCTCCAGGTAACATAACATTTATTTTCCTGTAGTAACCCTGACTTTTTTTTTTCTTTTTTCTTTTTTTTTTAACCTGGCTGTGACATTACATTCTGTTAGATTTTTTTACTTGTAAAGCAGTCAAATGTTTCCCTGCTGTTTTTGTCTTTGGAATGGACCTGTTGCTATCACAAAGAAGGTGCCCTCCAATACCCCTTAGAGTGCTATAGCAGCGCATCATGGTTTGATACAATGTACATAAAGTGCAAACCATTATTTGCTGCTTTAGAATTTTGAGGAAATGCATTTTTTTGAAAAGCCATACAAGGATTTTATCAACCCTTTTTGTTTTTGTTCCGTGGGAGGAATTTGGATGAATTAATTACAAGGTCAAGTCAGATTTCTCGTCCTGTATCAGTCACACTTTAGCAGCACGTAAATATTGGCGTGATAGACGAACCCCAGTATTAGCAGTGCTGCTTCAGTGTGGCTAGATCAAACACCCTCAATCATCACTGTCTAATTTTTTTCACTTGAATTTCTGTCAATGTAATTACATGGACTGTATGTCTTGTCTTTTTTTTTAATGTATTTTATTTAAAAAAAAAAATAATAATAATCTTGCATAGTTGAACTGAGTTTGAAGCAGTTTCCCGGTCACACTTTTGTTGCTGTGATTGTGTTACACGTGTGTCCCGAGCATTATTACTGATTAACTCAAGGCTCATGGGGTGATGGCTGGTGTCAGAGTAACACCAAATGGCCGATTTCAATGTTTTGTCACTGGAATTCTAATTGTTTTACACGGTGCACTAGTTTACGGTGAACACTCACTTTTTTTTTGTTTACCCTTCATTGTGCCTTTTGTGGTTTGCTGGTTGCTTACAAGTGTCTTGCTTCCCTGTGTGTGTGTGTGTGTGTGTGTGTGTGTGTGTGTGTGTGTGTGTGTGTGTGTGTGTGTGTGTGTGTGTGTGTGTGTGTGTGTGTCCATGATGACTCTTGCTGTCCTTGGGTGTTAGATTTTCAGTTCTTTTTTTTGTGACATGGCTGCATGTCTATGGGAAGAGGATTAGGCTTGTTCTCCAAGGTCACTTTTCCAGGCCTCTTGCTAGGGAGAAGCTGTCTCTTTAGTGCTCTGGTTAGAGCAGGGTGACATGGGGGATTTTTGTCTTCTGCTGGATAGTCTTTTATTTTTACACATAAAAGTAAGATGTGAGCTGCCCTCCCCCCTGCCCTTTACATACAAAGAGAGCCATTGGGTTTTTCGTATCTAGATTGAATGTGTGTTTAGCTGGAAAAGTATCTTACCCAAGGCTGTCTTTTATCAAATGGATACAATTTAACTTGTAATCAGACATCGTCTTAGACTACAAAAATGTCCACGACACAGTTCTGAGACCTTGAAGAGGCTAGAATTAATTTACACATGGTTAGATAAGACCTTTGTTTCACATCAAGCATTTTGTAAAGATATTTGTGTTTGTTCCTTGTAAATAATAATAATAGTGATTCAAGAATTCATTTAGTCAAGTGTACCATAATGAATTGTTCTTATTGTCACTAAATGGGGCACGGGGGGGGGGGCATTTTGTCCCCGATGCATGATTGTATAAATCAGCATTTTGTGTGTGACTAAGTAACAAATTATTTCCGACAAGAATTCTACTTATTTCTATTTTACTTAATTGTATTAGTGATTATTTTCGACTGGAGTCATCTTCTCAGATATGTGTTTTCATTGCTGGGGCTCAGGGTGAGGTGGAGCAAATTGCCATGATGAAGCCCAAAGGTCAGACGGAGCATGATGAGGGAATGCTGGAGTACCTGGAGGACATTATCGGCTCCTGTCGCCTCAAAGAGCCCATCCAAACTCTGGCCCGCAGAATTGAACTGCTTAATGAACAGAGAGGGGAGAAGGTGATTTGTCCACATTCGTTCTTTCCGTGTCCCGGGTTTTACGAGTTTAACATTGAGGTGTGTGTGTGTGCGTGTGCGTGTGTGTGTCGTGTTGATAGATGAGCTGTGATTGTTTTTCATGTTCGGATTTTTTTTGTCTATTTTTTTGATTCCTTGTTTTGCCAGAATATGACATGATGTAAAATACAGCAGAGCCTCCAAAATTAACTGCCCCAAAAGTTAAAAAGTTTGGATTTGAGCAAAAAGGGGGGAAAAAAATTATGGGGCACTATGGGGCACACCAGGAGAGAGAGAGAGAAAGAGAGAGAAAGAGAAAGGGAGAGAGAGTACAAGTGTTATGATCACCATAGAACCAGAAATGCAACTTCGTTTGACAGGAATGGGTCCGGCTGCTCAGGACAAACATGAGCAATACAATAATTTACATTTCAGTAGCATAAACAAATTAAATAATTTAAGAAAGAAAGTTACCTTTTTATAGAGCAGTGCAAGTTAAAAAAAAGGGGGGGGTATTGAAAATGCCTGTTCGATTAACATAATTTCATTAAGGTGACACTTTGAGTTTGAATTACTTCATGTCACAGTATTTCCTGTGGGGCGAAATGTTGAATTTAGAACACTGTCTCACACACAATGGATTGTGTCGAACTCTGTCATTTCCACTGTATTATTTGGAAATATGCTGCGCATGCACGTGATCTGTGGCTTGATATTAAGTGGTTGATGTACACTTCCCAAGCTCAACCGAGTCAAGCTCGTGGAGAAGGAAAAGAATGCTCTTGAGAAAGAAAAGAACAAAGCTGTGGAGTTTCTCACTTTGGAAAATGACATCTTCAAACATAAGAGTCGCCTCTGCCAATATTATGTGTAAGTACACCAGCACTTTTCGTGTTTGTCTTCTGTGCAAAGTCAAACAAATCCAATGTGAGCCAGTAAATGCAAAATTTAAATATCTGCTCATCGGGTGTAACTTCTCAATGCTACTTTGTCCCCTTGTTATCCGTTCCTGTTTCTTAGTCATGATCTGCAAAAGCGTGTGGCGGATAAAGAGCAGGAAAAGAACAACATCTTAGAGGACACCAAAGAACTCTCAGAGAAAACCGCTAAGATATCACAAGAGATGGAGAAAATGAATCAGGAGCTCAAAAATGTGGAGAAGTAAGATCGTTTGCGTCTTTGTTGCTCTTTCAACTGTTTTTTTTTTTTTTTTTTAAATTATTATTTTCCCCTCTCTGTCTAATTTTAGGCTTGTTGTCCATGCTTGTTCTTGTAGGGAAAAACTCAAAATCACAGTTCCATTTCTGTAGAATTTGATCTACCGGTACTTCATAAAATTTAAAACTTAATAAAATTTGTAAATATTTATGGCATTACCGCGATCCATGAGAGTGCTTCTTTTGACCATTTCCTCTAAAATTGTATTTTTGGAAAGTGGGGTGGGGGCGGATACTGGTCTTTTTGCCCTGTTTAACAATTTTCCTCCACCAGGAAACAGAACAAGCTCAACAAGTACATTGAGACTCAGAAGGAGATGTTCACCCAGCTAGACTTGCAGGACGTTGAAGTGCGCGAGAAGATCAAACACTCGAAAAGCAAGAGCAAGAAGTTACAGAAACAGCTGGAGAAAGATCAAGAAAAGGTGTGTCCACCTTTTTAAATGTTTTTCATTCAGTTCTTGATTGATTCACTGGAGCTGGTGTCTTATTGGTCTATTTCACTGTGAGTATTCTGATCCACTGCAAGTGAGCAACTTTTGTGTTTACTGTAGAAACCGACAAAAGACACAGATTTGCACTATGAGTCAGGCAGCGGTATTGTGTTCTATTTTTTTGTTTTGCCTTCTGGCCAGCAAGCACAAAAGGCACTCAGACAATTTCCTGTTCGCAGGAACACAAATTATTCTAATTTTTGTAATGTTTTCAAATTAAATACACACTACTAAGAGAAAAATACACACTGGAACTATAATTTTATGTCTTGGTATCTTCTTTACAAACGCCCTTTCTTTTTGGCAAATTAATGATTTGATAAATGTGGAATTTGTTTGGTAGAGCGTAACATATTAAAAAGAAAAAAGGTCAATTCTCTAAAAATGCAGAGTCGTGGTTTATGTCCACTGTACAGTGATATAAAAAAAATAAGGCTCCCTGGTGTAAACTAATTGCTTTATGGCTCCTGTTAAAGCTCCAGTCCATAAAAATGCAACATCTATATGCTGAGACCGTGCTTTAAATCGTCATATTTTTTTCTTAGTTGGAAAACCGCAGAGTTCTTGTAAAAACAACGTAAAATCGTTGAATGCTGTAAATCATATTTTCAAGGCAGCAAGAAAAGAGCTCATCATAAGCATCCACTAGGGGGCTGTGAAGTGCCAGACAAGTGGATTCCTGTCCCCAGCGTCATGGAGAGACGCACACAAACACACACTTACTTGAACACGGACTAACAAACGGTTCAGATAAGTGTCACATTGTATGCATATGTACTGTACATATAGTGGCGCTGCTGTGGAGATGTGTTGATTTTTGAGGGGTAAGGGCAGGCAGACCCCCTCTCAAGGGAGTAGTGTTCTGATCCACGCAAGTCAACTATGGCCTGGCTTGTGTTACACTCCCGACAGCCACGTTCACATTTCACCCGCTCTTAACCCCCTGCACATAATACCCCACTCGCAGTGCCACGCATGATCAGGGCTCGTGCGTTCAGAACAAGCGCAGAGCACTTGATCTATCTACCTCTCTTATTTTTATTTTATTTTTTAAAATTTATTATTACTGTTATTTTGTTCTCTCCTATCATTAGAAGATGAATTTTAGTTGTGATTGGCCCCTTTTAGCTGGAAGAGGTGCGCAGTGTACCCACAAACAGCGAAAAGGCCATCTCAGAGGCCACCGCTCGCAAGGAAGAGCTGGAGAAGCAGAAAGGGAAGGAGGAGGAGAAACTCAAGGAGGTGATGGAGAGTCTAAAAGAAGAGACTAGTGGCTTGCAACAGGACAAAGAGGTATGGAAACGCACTTTTTTTTTTTTTTTTATGTGTCTATTCTGCGTCCTCATCCTTCCCCCCTCGGGCCGTGAGGCGTTCCGACAGTTTTACGTAAATGTGAATCACATAGAAAAATTGTTCACCAGTCGGGCGATCGCTCACTATCCTGATTTTTGCCTTGGACATTTTCGAAGGATTGTTAAAAGCCTACAAAAGCAAACGTCCTTGGATCAGTTCTTTACAAAACGCCAGGCAAAAACCACTTCTGAGAGAGAATGTGAACTAAAGAGGGCAAAAAAAAAATTAAACGCAGTTAAAAATTAAATGACGATCATTTTTATTCTTTATTTTTTACATGATGCACAACTCTCATTGATTGTGCATC